GGGAAAGAGGGGGCCCGAAACAAGCTGGATTCATTTTCATTTCCTTGCAGCTTCCAGACTGTTCTATAAGTTGCAAGATCCAGAATAGGACCTGCTAAGACCACTGCATTTCTGTTTATTCATGCCTACTGCACCCATTGCCTACCACGTATTTTGCCTCAAATAACCACTGGTGCCTTATCTTCTCTCTGAGCCAAAGCCACGTCCCTGTGCCACGCAAGCTGAATGGTGACTTCAACAAGAGCCAAAATCCCTCCTGGTTCCTACTCAAAGCACATACAAGAGGTTATTGAGCAGCAACTGGGACAGGAGCTATGCCATGACACCATAGGCAGCTGGAGGGCAGAATAGGAAAATGGAGAAGAAAAAGTTTTACCTTATTTGACTGCACAGTAAAGTAAGGTACATGAAATGACAAGCAACAGTAGACGTCCCTAAAGCTTTAGCAGAATGTACATGATCTGCCTCTGTGGTTCAGAACAGGATTTTTTTTTCCTCAAGACACAGAAATGTTAATCACAATATTCCCAAAAATCTCATAATCGCAAAAAGAAGTTCTTTGCTCTTGCAGAGCTCAGTACCTCCAGTGCTTCCTCCAGTTAACTAAAGGGGAGAAGCTCTTTCTTGTATACTCTGGCCATCAAAACACTGAGAGACTATTTACCCAATTGCTTTTTATTGAGACTGAAGTCCACGCTAGTGATAGCATCTCTGTGGCCTTTGAAGTGTCTCTCCAAGGATGGATCTTCCTAAAAAGACAATAACGTTCAGACATTATAGATTAAGAACCATCTTTGCACAATAAAATCACCTTATTTCTGTGACAAGTTAAACAAGCCACATCTTTCTCCCACAAAAGCCAGGTAGAAATATGAACATTGTGCCACATAAAATGTGAATTTCACATGTATCAACAAATTTTAAGAGGCAAGTTTTCCAAGCTGGTAATCCTCCTGGATCTTAGGTGGTCCCTGGAATCATTTGTGCGTTTTTACAACATGCTGCTGGTGCAGGGACCCCAAAACTGACTTAGGAAAAGATTAGTCATGTCAATGAGCACCTGAGCAGGTCATTAAGCTCAGCATTGCTCTGACGGCTGCTAATCTCAGACAGGGTCAGCCAAGAGGCCATTGAGCGCAGAAGGGACAAATTTGCAGGACTTAACACACCTGCTGAAAAAGACAGGTAGAATCAGAACTACAGCTAACAGACTTGACCCACGACTGTTCCCCTGTGGCTGGGGAATACACTGTGTACTTCCACAGCACCTTGCTGCAAAAGCTAAAGCCCAAAGTCAAAAAAACAAAACAGTAAGAGAATTGTTATAAGAGGTTGTAACAGTTGAAAAATCTCTAGACTTCAGAACAGGCTGAGCAGCCTTCAATCCCTGCTCTCATACACACAGTCTCTGCCTCCCTGGCAACCATCACTACAGCCTGCTCCCTTTCAGGACTTGAACCCAGGCTCAGAGCAGGGCTGATCTTCCCCAAAACTCAGCACTAGCCCTCCCCAGACCCGGAGCTTCCTGCACCAACCTCCACCACCAGCCCAGAGGTGCCCCTGTCCCCAGCCATAGACCAGTCCCAGCTGCAACAGCACCCCAAGACTTAGGGCTGCCCCCCTAAGATCCAACAGCATCAAGCCCTCCCAGGCCAGCTCTGTCTCCAGTCCCTCCCAGCCCCGACTGCATCAGGCCACCCCACAGACCAACTCCAGCAGCACTGACACCTGCCCTCAACCCAGAACTGCCTGACACCACCACTCAAAGACCCCAGGCCTTCCTGCACAGCCTAGTCCAGCAGCAGCAGGCACTCCCCCCCAGCAGGACACCAGGCCTGCCCCCTCCCCTCACCCAACGCACCAAGCACCATCTCCTTCCCCAAGCCCTGCAGCGACC